CTCAAAGGGACTCTAACCCCGAGACTTCTTCTCAAAGGGACTCTAAACCCGAGACTTCTTCTCAAAGGGACTCTAACCCCGAGACTTCTCCTCAAAGGGACTCTAACCCCGAGACTTCTTCTCAAAGGGACTCTAACCCCGAGACTTCTTCTCAAAGGGACTCTAACCCCGAGACTTCTTCTCAAAGGGACTCTAACCCCGAGACTTCTCCTCAAAGGGACTCTAACCCCGAGACTTTTTCTCAAAGGGACTCTAACCCCGAGACTTCTTCTCAAAGGGACTCTAACCCAGAGACTTCTTCTCAAAGGGACTCTAACCTTGACGCTTCTTCTCAAAGGGACTCTAACCCCGAGACTTCTTCTCAAAGGGACTCTAACCCCGAGACTTTTTCTCAAAGGGACTCTAACCCCGAGACTTCTTCTCAAAGGGACTCTAACCCCGAGACTTCTTCTCAAAGGGACTCTAACCCCGAGACTTTTTTCTCAAAGGGACCCCGAGACTTCTTCTCAAAGGGACTCTAACCCCGAGACTTCTTCTCAAAGGGACTCTAACCCTGAAGCTTCTTCTCAAAGGGACTCTAACCCCGAGACTTCTTCTCAAAGGGACTCTAACCCCGAGACTTTTCTCAAAGGGACTCTAACCCCGAGACTTCTTCTCAAAGCGACTCTAACCCCGAGACTTTTTCTCAAAGGGACTCTAACCCCGAGACTTCTTCTCAAAGGGACTCTAACCCTGAAGCTTCTTCTCAAAGGGACTCTAACCCCGAGACTTCTTCTCAAAGGGACTCTAACCCCGAGACTTCTTCTCAAAGGGACTCTAACCCTGAAGCTTCTTCTCAAAGGGACTCTAACCCCGAGACTTCTTCTCAAAGGGACTCTAACCCCGAGACTTCTTCTCAAAGGGACTCTAACCCCGAGACTTCTTCTCAAAGGGACTCTAACCCCGAGACTTTTTCTCAAAGGGACTCTAACCCCGAGACTTTTCTCAAAGGGACTCTAACCCCGTCAGGTAGCGAACCTGTTTTTAATCTAATCTGATCTATAGATACATGACATTTGGCAGACCTCAAAACAGACCATAATTTAGTTCACTCAATTAGCAGACTTTGAATAAACAGGTGTCCGCTCTTACCTTTTGTTGAACAGGGCCCAGGCACCGTCAGAAGTCCACCAAATATCAGCTTTTCCACGTCCAACCGGGTCTCCAGATCATGAACCAGCGCTCACTAGTACCGGGAACTAGTTTCCATCGGCAGAGACCAATCGCACGTCAAAAATCCCCGGAATGTGGGGGGGTTGACTTCCGGGTAGCAATGGAGTAGCATCTCTGAGACGGTGCTCCCATCGGACCTTGATAAATACAGCATTTAAAAACTAATAGAACCAACAAAAGAGTTAACTCCGGCTATTAAGTCTGTTTGTGCGTTGAGGGATATGAGACGAAGCTCACGGAAAGGAGGAAATAAGCAACTATCTCAGACGCAAAAGTCCATAGCATCCTACACCGTGGGCAAGGATAAAATGGCGGACGTGGATTCCCCACAAAGTCTTGAAACCGCTGCTGTTTCTACACTTGATTTGGCAATTCTCCGCCATGAACTCCAGTCACTCCCCCCTGGACTGCCACCTTAACGTGGTGGGGGAGTTTGAGTACTCGGATGATCCTGGGAGCTATGCTGTCTGGGGCTTCATGCCCCTGGTAGGGCCTCCCATGGCAGACAGGTCTCGTGTGACGAGTCAGACAAAGAGCAGTCCAGAAGACACCATGGACAGCACTCATACGAAACCAGTGACGTCGCCCGGCATGGCGCAGCCGGGGCCCCACCCTGGAGCCAGGCCTGGGGTCGGGGCTCGTAGGCGAGCGCCTGGTGGCCGGGCCTTAGCCCACGGGGCCCGGCCGGGCTCAGCCCGAATGGACGACGTGGGCAGTCCCTCCTGTGGGCCCACCACCTGCAGAGGGGTCCGTGGTGGCATGGTGCAGAGAGGACTGGGCAGCAGTCGAAGGCGGAGACCTCGACGACCCAGTCCACACACACAACAGCTGGCTCTCGGGACGTGGAACGTCACCTCACTGGGGGGGAAGGAGCCCGAGCTTGTGGGGGAGGTTGAGCGATACCGACTAGAGATAGTCGGCCTCACCTCCACACACAGCTTGGGCTCTGGAACCCAACTCCTTGAGAGGGGTTGGACGCTCCACTTTTCTGGTGTTTCCCGCGGGGAGAGGCGGCGAGCTGGGGTGGCCATTCTCATTGCCCCCCATCTCAGCCGCCACGTGTTGGAGTTCTCCCCGGTGAATGAGAGGGTCGCGTCCCTCCGCCTCCGGGTGGGGGACAAGTCTCTCACTGTTGTGACGGCCTACGGGCCTAACAGCAGTGCAGAGTACCCGGCCTTCTTGGAGTCCTTGGGAGGGGTACTGGACGGTGCACCGCCCGGGGACTCCGTTATTCTCCTGGGGGACTTCAACGCCCATGTGGGAAACGCCAGTGACACTTGGAGAGGGGTGATCGGGAAGAGCGGCCCCCCTGATCTGAACCCGAGCGGTGTTCAGTTGTTGGACTTCTGTGCCAGTCACAGTTTGTCCATCACGAACACCATGTTCGAGCACAAGGGTGTCCACCAGTGCACGTGGCACCAGGACACCCTAGGCCGGAGGTCGATGATCGACTTTGTTGTCGTATCATCTGACCTTCGACCGCGTGTCTCGGACACTCGGGTAAAGAGAGGGGCGGAGCTGTCAACCGATCATCACCTGGTCGTGAGTTGGATCCGCTGGCAGGGGAAGAAGCCGGTCAGACCTGGCAGACCCAAGCGTATAGTGAGGGTCTGCTGGGAACGTCTCGCTGAGCCCCCTGTCAGACGGACTTTCAACTCACACCTCCGGGAGAGTTTCTCCCAGGTCCCGGTGGAGGAGGGGGACATGGAGTCCGAGTGGACCATGTTCTCTGCCTCAATCGCCGATGCGGCGGCCCGTAGCTGTGGTCGCAAGGTCTCTGGTGCTGGTCCCGGCGGCAACCCCCGAACCCGGTGGTGGACACCGGCAGTAAGGGAAGCTGTCAGGCTGAAGAAGGAGTCCTATCGAGCCATGATGGTTCGGGGGACTCCTGAGGCAGCTGTCCAGTACCGGCAGGCCAAGCGTGCCGCAGCCCGGGCTGTTGCAGAGGCAAAAACCCGGGACTGGGAGGAGTTCGGAGAGTCCATGGAGCATGACTATTGGTCAGCCTCAAAGAAATTCTGGCAAACCGTCCGGCGCCTCAGGAGGGGGAAGCAGTTCTTTGCCAACACCATGTACGGTGCGGGTGGAGAGCTGCTGACCTCAACGGGGGATATTGTCGGGCGGTGGAAGGAATACTTTGAGGTTCTCCTCAATCCCCCCGTCACGTCCTCTGTCTCAGAGGCAGAGGCTGAGGATGCTGGGGCGGATACATCCATCTCCCTGGCTGAGGTCACCAAGGTGGTTGGTAGCCTCCATGGTGGCAAGGCTCCGGGTGTGGATGAGATCCGCCCTGATTATCTAAAGTCTCTGGATGTTGTAGGACTGTCTTGGCTGACACGTCTCTGCAACATCGCGTGGCGATCGGGGGCGGTGCCAATGGAGTGGCAGACCGGGGTGGTGGTCCCTCTCTATAAGAAGGGGGACCGGAGGGTGTGTTCCAATTATCGTGGGATCACACTCCTCAGCCTCCCCGGTAAGGTCTACTCCAAGGTACTGGAGAGGAGGCTACGGCCGATGGTCGAATCTCGGATCCAGGAGGAGCAGTGTGGTTTTCGTCCCGGTCGCGGAACACTGGACCAGCTCTATACTCTCCATCGGATACTCGAGGGTTCATGGGAGTTCGCCCAACCTGTCCACATGTGCTTTGTGGATTTGGAGAAGGCGTTCGACTGTGTTCCCCGGGGTGTCCTTTGGGGGGTTCTCCGGGAGTACGGGGTCGGGGGTCCTCTGCTGAGGGCCATCCGGTCCCTGTATGACCGGAGCCAGAGCTGTGTTCGCATTGCCGGCAGTAAGTCAGATCTGTTCCCGGTGAATGTTGGCCTCCGACAGGGCTGCCCTTTGTCACCGGTTCTGTTCACTGTATTTATGGACAGAATATCTAGGCGCAGCCAGGGGTCGGAGGGGGTCCGGTTCGGGGACCACAGGATTTCATCTCTGCTGTTTGCGGACGATGTTGTCCTGTTGGCTCCAACGAACCAGGACCTGCAGCATTCACTGGGACGGTTTGCAGCCGAGTGTGAAGCGGCTGGGATGAGAATCAGCACCTCCAAATCTGAGGCCATGGTGCTCGACCGGAAAAAGGTGCCCTGCCCTCTTCAGGTGGGTGGAGAGGTCCTTCCTCAAGTGGAGGAGTTCAAGTATCTCGGGGTCTTGTTCACGAGTGAGGGAAGAATGGAGCGTGAGATTGACAGGCGGATCGGTGCAGCGTGCGCAGTGATGCGGTCGCTGTATCGGACCGTTGTGGTAAAGAGGGAGCTGAGCCGAAAGGCAAAGCTCTCGATTTACCGGTCAATCTTCGTTCCCTCCCTCACCTATGGTCATGAGCTTTGGGTAATGACCGAAAGAACGAGATCGCGGATACAAGCGGTCGAAATGAGCTTCCTCCGCAGAGTGGCTGGGCGCTCCCTTAGAGATAGGGTGAGGAGCTCAGTCACACGGGAGGAGCTCGGAGTAGAGCCGCTGCTTCTCCACGTCGAGAGGAACCAGTTGAGGTGGCTCGGGCATCTGTTCCGGATGCCTCCTGGACGCCTCCCTGGGGAGGTGTTCCGGGCACGTCCCACCGGGAGGAGGCCCCGCGGAAGACCTAGGACACGCTGGAGGGACTATGTCTCTCAGCTGGCCTGGGAACGCCTAGGGGTCCCCCCGGACGAGCTGGAGGAAGTGTGTGTGGATAGGGAAGTCTGGGCGTCTCTGCTTAGACTGCTGCCCCCGCGACCCGGCAACGGATAAAGCGGAAGAAAATGGATGGATGGATGGATGAACTCCAGTCACACCGGGACGACATAAAGATGGATATTGGAACGCAGATTTTGGATCTCAAAGAGGACATTTCGTCCCTGCGCAATGATACCAGAGCAGATATTAAAACCCTCCGTGAGGAGCTAACTGGGGAGCTAGCTAAACTTAGCAACAAACAAGCAGAGGCTACGCGGCAGATGGAAGACATGGGGAATACGCTAAGCGACACGATCGATAGAGTCGCCGCATTGGAGCACAACCAGCAGCTTATGACCAAGAAATGCAAGACTCTCCAAGAAAAATGCGCGGACTTCGAAAACAGGAGCCGGAGATGTAATCTGAGGTTCGTTGGGGTTGTGGAGGACTTGGAGAAGGGGAATATGCTTACGTTTCTGCCGGTGTTTATTCGTGAGATACTGGGACGCGAAAACTTTGATTCTCCCCTGGTAATTGACAGAGCCCATAGAAGTCTCGGTCCGAAGCCCGCTTCTACAGACAGACCACGCTCGATAGTGGCTTGTTTCCACTACTTTTCGGATAGACAGAAAATACTAGATCTAGCCAAATCCAAGGGAAAACTTGTGTATGACGGGCGACAGGTGCACATCTTCCCTGACATGACTCCTGAGGTGGGAAAGATGCGCGCAGCCTTCAACGACATAAAGAGAAAGCTCCGCGATGCTGGAGTGTCATACAGCCTCTTTTTCCCTGCGAAGCTGGTTGTCACAGTGAAAGGAGAAAGACATTCATTTGACTCACCTCAGGCAGCCGAGTCCTTCTACCAACAACATGTGAAGTAAGACTGAATAATGTCGCCTAGCTCATCGCTACTCGAGGAGAGGAGCGCGGACCTGATTGGTATGACTTGTGAATGACTTTGGTGTTTGTTTTTTCTTGGGGCTGATATGAGCCAAGTTTAGCGATTGATGCAAATACAGTTGGGTTTCTTCTTAGTTTGATGTATGATACACGGCGGTATCAGGTTCAAAAACTCATAATTTAAATGCTGTTAACACAATTTAGTTTCTAAAAACGGAGTGGTAGTGTTTTCCTTTTTTTTTTCTTACCACTTAGCTGGGTTGCATTCAGCAACATGAGTAGTTTGCTGTCAAAGCTTTTTTCCCTAACACTCGTTTGGGGAGTGTCTAAGGGGGGGAAGGGGTTATTTGTTCTCATGAATGTTTTTGTTTTTTCTTTAGTAGCACAGACTTTATTCTGGTGGATACATTTTTTTTCACTTAACATGCTGTTGTGGACCATACATTTTTTGTTTAATTTATGCTATGGCAGATAAAGAAACTTTAGTGAAATGCTTGTCCTGGAATTGTAGAGGGGTGAATGGTACATTGAAACGGAATAAGATTCCAACTTCGTGCTTGACCCGTTACTTGATAGATCATCAAATAAGCAACAGAGTTTGACCAAATCTGCTAAATTGATTAAGCAATTTTTAAAATCTGCTGACTTAGTAGACCCATGGAGGCACATAAATCCCACTAAGCGTGAATATTCATTTTTCTCCCCGCGGCATAATTCTTACTCGAGGATTGATTTTTTTTTGACAGATTCTAAATTGTTACCCATAATCAAAACAATACAATATGAGGCTATAGTGCTGTCAGACCATGGACCATTAACATTAAATCTTTCATTCCCTAAACTGAATGGATCAAAAAATTGGAGAATGGATAACCGGTGTTTGGCAGAAGAGTCATCCAGGCAGTTTATAAAATCTCAGATATCTTTCTATTTTGAAACAAATGATTCCATAGAAATTTCAAGGGAAACTCTTTGGGAAGCAATGAAAGCTTTTATTCGCGGTCAAATTATATCTCAGAGTGCATTAAAATATAGGAAGGAAAAACAGGAGAAACAGTTAATAACTGAACAAATTCAAACCTTGGATCAACAGCATGCCACCAACCCAGAGCCAGATATTTTGGCTAAACGTATTGCTCTGCAGGCTGAATTCAATTTGTTATCCTCAGCTTCAGCAGTGAAATTAATAAAGGAAACAAAACATCGATTCTATGAACAGGGGGAAAAACCCGGCCGACTACTTGCTCACCAGATTAAAGTTATGGAGGAGAAAAAACAAATTTTAGAAGTAATAACACATCTGGGCACTTTAACTACTGACCAACAAGAAATAAACAGGGAATTTAAAAAGTTTTATGAAGATTTGTACACATCCGAAGTTGAAGGGGATACTACTCTGTTAAATAGTTTTTTCGATGATCTACCCATTCCCTTAATAACTCAGAAATCTAAAGACGAGTTGGAAAGTCTTATCTCTCTAGATGAGGTTAAACGGGCAATCAAAGCTTTACAGACATCAAAGGCACCTGGTCCTGACGGTTTTACAACTGAATTTTATAAATCTTTTGTTGATGAGCTGGCTCCCAGGTTACTCCAAGTTTATAACGAATCCATGACACTTGGTAAACTCCCACCAACATTTTATCAAGCAACTATTTTTGTCATCCATAAAAAAGATAAAGATCCAAAAAGTTTGTCTGCATACAGGCCAATTAGTCTTTTGAATGTAGATGTTAAAATCCTGGCAAAAATATTAAGTAATCGACTGGAAACTGTGCTACCCACAATCATACATGAAGACCAGAATGGTTTCATAAAAAACAGACAGTTAACCCATAATTTAAGACGTCTTTTTAATATTATCTATACAAGCAATGCACAAGCTCAACCTGAATTGCTCATCTCTTTAGACGCGGAGAAGGCCTTCGACAGGGTGGAGTGGTCCTACCTCTTCTTCGCCCTGTCGAAGTTTGGATTTGGAATTCAGTTTGTTGCTTGGCTGAAACTACTGTATGCCTCCCCGGTTGCTTCCATACAAACCAATAACATCAGGTCAGAGTACTTCCCTCTAACTAGGTCTACTCGACAGGGCTGTCCGTTGTCGCCCCTACTGTTTGCAATTGCAATCGAACCTCTTGCTATTTCACTTCGTATGATGCAGAACTATTCTGGCATCACAAGAGCAAACTCTGAGCATAAGGTATCGCTCTATGCTGATGACCTTCTCCTATATATCTCAAACCCTTTAATATCTATTCCTGCAATAATGAAAAAACTGGAACAATTCAGCTCAATATCTGGCTACAAATTAAACATAGGCAAGAGTACTGTTTTCCCAATAAACCGGACACTGGATGACATGCATGTTTATCGCTTACCCTTTAAGATTTCTGATGAATTTAAATACCTGGGAATTAACATTACCTCATCCTTTAATGGGTTACTACTTGAAAATTTTACAAAATTGATAGAACAGACCTCTGTAGATTGTGAGAGATGGTCTTATCTCCCACTTTCATTAGCAGGCCGTATTAATATAATCAAGATGACAGTACTGCCAAGATTCCTCTTTTTATTCCAGTGCATTCCTTTTTATCTGAATAAGTCATTTTTTTAGAAAACTTGACACAATAATTTCAGAATTTGTGTGGAATAAAAAGACTGCTAGAATTAGAAAAGCATTCCTGCAGAGACCAAAACAGTCAGGTGGAATGGGGTTGCCAAATTTTCAATTATACTATTGGGCTTGCAATCTTAAATGTATGTCATTTTGGATCCAAAAGAAGTTTCCAAGCTGGATGCAAATGGAGCAGTATTACTGTTCTCCCTCTTCACTTAGAGCATTTGTTTTTGCAGATATAGCATCAATGTCTCATGGTGGTATTGATAATTTGGTAGTCTCTCATTCACTTCAAATATGGAAACAAATTTTAAGGCATTTTGGTCTTCATTCCAACCCGATGCTTGGACCCACAATTAAAAATCACCTGTTTGCACCCTCTTTTGGAAATGACACTTTTACCGAATGGTTTAGGCGTGGTTTATGTAATTTTATGGACTTTTTTATAGAGGGTTTTTTTCCTTCATTTGAAACACTTAAGGAAAAATTTGGCTTACGCAACTGTCACTTTTTTAAATATTTGCAGGTTCGTCATTTTGTTAAACAGAACAATGCTAACTATCCTAGGGCTCCGACACCAAAACCTATTGATACACTTTTTTTAGATAACCCTTCTTCTAAAGGAGGCATCTCTAAGCTTTATAATAAATTGTCTGAGTTTGATGGTTCTGGTACTTTGCAACACCTGAGGCAGGCCTGGGAGGAGGAACTTGGTATTGCTGTCACTGAAGAGCACTGGGAACAAGCACTCGCTTGTACCCACTCAACCTCCATCTGTGCTCGCCACGGTTTAATTCAGTTTAAGATCATACACAGGATCCACTGGTCAAGACTTCGATTGAGTAAGATCTTTCCTGATGTGGACCCTGTGTGTACGCGCTGTAATCAAGCACCAGCTTCTCTGTCACACATGTTCTGGGGTTGCTCTGAGCTATACACTTTTTGGTCAAATATTTTCTCAATATTATCAAAAGCTATTCACAAAACTATTGGCATGAATCCTCTCACAGCAGTACTTGGAATTGTAGATCGAAATTTAATTACAAGACGGTCAGAGCGCACTGTTCTACAATTTGGGTGCTTACTTGCACGAAGACTGATTTTATTAAATTGGAAGGAGGCAGAGCCCCCCTCTCATGTGCATTGGTTAAGAGATGTAATGATGCACTTAGATCTGGAGAAGATCAGGTATTCCTTACAAGGTCATGAAGATACATTTACCAGGACATGGGCATCCTTTATTAGTCTGTTTAAAATGGGAACTTGAACTACACTTTTTTGTTTTAATTGTATGTCCACATTAATCCACTTTAATTGTCCGCATATTTTCTTTTTTACTATAGTCTGTGTGAATGTTCCTTTGTTTATTTGTTTTTTCTTTTTCTCTCTGTATAACCTAACATATATACATACATATCTAACGGGATATATACATCTAATACAGTGCTTTTAAGTGATCTGTACTTTCTGTTGGATTGCCAAACTGTATAAATTTGTGAAAACCTAATAAACAGAATGTTAAAAAAAAAAAAAATCCCCGGAATGTGGACATGGGAAAACAATTTTAAACGCTCAGTCCAAAAAAGAGGACACAAAAAAAATATAGTGAGAGAGCGAAAAAGAGTCCCGGAGCCGGTCGCCTCTCCAGCCTGCTGGACCGCTCCCAGGCCCCAGACACTCTCAGCTCTCCCACGCCGAGAAAAAGAAACAAAGAAAACTCCCTCAAAACAATCCAGAGAATGGCACACACTGAGCCGCACATTCTCCACCAAATCTGTCAGGATTTAGCAGACAGAGACGGATCGTGGTGTGCCAAACTCTGGAAGTTTATTTAAGTTTCTCTCAAGTTCCACTGGTTTACTCTGTTTCTTTCTCTCAGACAGAATAAAGGCAGTACACAGTTTATATAGTCATTGTCACGTCACACATCGAAAGACATACGTGTCACAAAGAGACAGTCAAATCATAGTCATAACATGGAGTCCTTGTAGAGTCCTTGTACAGTCCTGCACGTAGGCCATATTGCTATCTAATACTAACATTACTATTTACAATATACAAGTGCACATGATGCACACAATGTAAGGTGACAGCAGTACAGTGAAGTAAAGTGACGTATGATGGGCAGTAAAGTGACTTTATAAAGGGCGGGGGGACAGGTTAAGAAGTGTTCAAGAGTCCAACAGCAGAGGGGAAGAAACTGTTCTTGTGGCGGGAGGTTCTAGTCCTGATGGGCCGCAGCCTCCTGCCTGAGGGGAGTGGTTGGAATAGTCCATGTGCAGGTGAGAGGGGAGTGGTTGGAATAGTCCATGTGCAGGTGAGAGGGGTCGGCTGTGATACGATCAACAGATCTGTTGGCTCTGTAGGCGAACTGCAGGGGGTCCAGGAGGGGGGAGGTGAACTGCAGGGGGTCCAGGAGGGGGGAGGTGAGGGACTTGAGATGGGAGAGAACCAGGCGTTCAAATGACTTCATGACGACAGACGTAAGTGCTACAGGTCTGTAGTCATTGAGTCCTGTGATCCTGGGCTTCTTCGGGACGGGGACAATGATGGAGGATTTGAAGCAGGCCGGGACATGGCAGGACTGCAGAGAGGTGTTGAAAATGTCCGTGAACACAGGAGTAAGCTCACTGGGGCAGTGTCTCAGAGTGGCCGGAGACACGTGGTCCGGGCCAGGAGCTTTGCGGGGGTGCAGCCTCAAGAAGAGTTGTTTAATCTCTTTAGCGGCTATTGTTAGGCTGGGGGCAGGGCTGATGGGTGGGTCGTTAGAGTAGTGGGGGGTGGGGGAGGGAGAGGTGTCAGGGGCAGCATCAAAGCGACTGAAAAATAAATTCAGTTCGTCAGCTAGCTTGTGGTCGTCAGCACAGGGGGGGGCTTTGGGTTTGTAGTTGGTGATCTCCCGTAGGCCCCTCCAGACAGAAGCAGTATCGTTGTTACCAAACTGCTCCTGTAGTCGTTCTCTGTGCCGGGACTTGGCTGCTTTCAGTTCTTTCCTGAACTGATATTTAGCTGCTTTGTAGCCGCTGCGGTCCCCCTCCCTGAAAGCAGACTCCTTTGCTTTCCTGAGCTGCCGGAGTTTAGCAGTGAACCAGGGTTTGTCGTTGTTATAGATGACCCTGGTCCTTGTTGGAATGATGCTATCCTCACAGAAGTGAATGTATGACGTCACAGTGTCCGTGTATTCATCCAAACTATCTGTGGCAGCTCTGAAAAGGTCCCAGTCTGTAGATTCCATGCATGCAGCTCTTCCACAGCTTCATCAGACCACACTTTGGAGCTCCTCACTGCAGGTTTCGAGAGCTTTAGTCTCTGTCTGTAAGCAGGAACCAGATGTATCATGGAGTGATCTGAGAAGCCGAGGGCTGGCTTGGGAACAGCGCGAAAAGCTCCGCGCACGGTGGTGTAACAGTGATCCAGAGTGTTCTCCTCTCTGGTCGGGCATTTGATAAACTGTCTGTATTTGGGTCATTCCTGGCTCAAGTTTCCCTTATTAAAATCCCCCAGGATAATAATCAGAGAGTCCGGGTATAAACGTTACAGAATACAAGATTACAGGCAACGTGGCAGACTGGTGCTCCAGTCTGGGCTCTCTCCCTGGCAAACCCAAAGCAAAAGACCGCGCTTCAGAAACAGACTATCGGTGATAAGCACACAGTCACATGACATGATAATTGAAGACATATGTCCCAACATCCTTAGGTGAAGACAATACCTCCTATGTTCAAGACAAACACATAGCCTCTCTCAAAGTAAGCCTGAGGCTACTCTAAACAGATGTTTCCTGCGCTCTTGCCTTAATTTAACTTCCTGTGTTTCATGGCTGCGGGCTGATTTCACACATTCTTGCACTCTGCTTACTACTAGATCCTGGATCAATACTAGACTAACGTTACATTTATTAATATGATAATAACAAAATAACATACTCCATTGACAACGTTCCATACACAGTACTTGCTCTGCGAGTGTGCGCTGAGCCTCGCGCGCATGGCGGTATGTAAATGTATATGTGTACTGTCTCCGCTCCTGTACACTGGCTCACCCCACGGCTGTGTACTGTCCCCGCTCCTGTACACTGGCTCACCCCACGGCTGTGTACTGTCCCCGCTCCTGTACACTGGCTCACCCCACGGCTGTGTACTGTCCCCGCTCCTGTACACTGGCTCACCCCACGGCTGTGTACTGTCCCCGCTCCTGTACACTGGCTCACCCCACGGCTGTGTACTGTCCCCGCTCCTGTACACTGGCTCACCCCACGGCTGTGTACTGTCCCCGCTCCTGTACACTGGCTCACCCCACGGCTGTGTACTGTCCCCGCTCCTGTACACTGGCTCACCCCACGGCTGTGTACTGTCCCCGCTCCTGTACACTGGCTCACCCCACGGCTGTGTACTGTCCCCGCTCCTGTACACTGGCTCACCCCACGGCTGTGTACTGTCCCCGCTCCTGTACACTGGCTCACCCCACGGCTGTGTACTGTCCCCGCTCCTGTACACTGGCTCACCCCACGGCTGTGTACTGTCCCCGCTCCTGTACACTGGCTCACCCCACGGCTGTGTACAGTCTCCACTCCTGTACACTGGCTCACCCCACGGCTGTGTACAGTCTCCACTCCTGTACACTGGCTCACCCCACGGCTGTGTACTGTCCCCGCTCCTGTACACTGGCTCACCCCACGGCTGTGTACTGTCCCCGCTCCTGTACACTGGCTCACCCCACGGCTGTGTACAGTCTCCACTCCTGTACACTGGCTCACCCCACGGCTGTGTACTGTCTCCGCTCCTGTACACTGGCTCACCCCACGGCTGTGTACTGTCCCCGCTCCTGTACACTGGCTCACCCCCACGGCTGTGTACTGTCTCCGCTCCTGTACACTGGCTCACCCCACGGCTGTGTACAGTCTCCACTCCTGTACACTGGCTCACCCCACGGCTGTGTACTGTCCCCGCTCCTGTACACTGGCTCACCCCACGGCTGTGTACAGTCTCCACTCCTGTACATCTTGTACACAAATGACTGTCGCAGCCGCCATGATAATCATCACACGCTTACATTTGCAGATGACTCTGTTGTTGTTAGTCTTCTGAGCATGGTCCTGTTGTTGAGGACATGATACAGTGGTGTGACGACTCATTCCTGCAGCTGAATGTTTTTAAGACTAAAAATATATGTGTGGATTTTCAGAGGAAAGTCTCATCACCTCAAGGCCACGGTGATAAAAGGTCAAAGAGTGGAGCTCGTTCAAAGTTGCATGTATTTGGGGACATGGATGGACAACAGGCTGAACTTCACTGAAAACACAGATGTTCTGTGTAAGAAAGATTCTGCCTCTGGAGACTGCTTCTTTTCATGTGGACAGGACGATAATGAGACTGTTTTACAAATCCTGTGTTGAGTCAGTTTTAACATTTTCCATGATGAGTTGGTTTGTTGACCTCAGTGTCAAAGGGAAAAGTATCTCAGCAGAATAGTAAACCTGAGCGCTAAGACTTTGGGAGCTCCTCAGACTCCACTCTCTGAACTGTTCACTGGTCAGGTGACAAGGCTCTGAGGATTCTGGGTAATGAGGCTCATCCTCGTCATGAAGAGTTTAGTTACCTGCTGTCTGGTTCCAGACTCAGAACCCCAATGGTTCCAGACTCAGAACCCCAATGGTTCCAGACTCAGAACCCCAATGGTTCCAGACTCAGAACCCCAATGGTTCGGAGTAATAGATATAAACACTCTTTTGTACCTGTAGCTATTTCTAACTAAACTCAGACATAGACAGAGAAAATGGGGTGAGTTTTTGCTTGAGGGGGACAGTTTTTGTCTTCTTTTGTTTTAGTGTGTTTTTTTCCTGTTATTTATAACTGCCATTGACTGGAAACTGTATGTGGAGACCTTGTTGTCTGAATGTATGGAGAAATTGCTTATGTTATGTTTTTTATGTGTCCCTGTGCTGTGAACCAAACTGCCCCATCAGGCCTTCAGGGAAGTGAAGGTCCTTCATGGTCAGGGTTCAGAGGTCCCTCTGAGGTCCTTCATGGTCTGGGTTCAGAGGTCCCTCTGAGGCCCTTCCTGGTCTGGGTTCAGAGGTCCTTCATGGTCTGGGTTCAGAGGTCCCTCTGAGGTCCTTCATGGTCTGGGTTCAGAGGTCCCTCTGAGGTCCTTCATGGTCTGGGTTAAGAGGTCCCTCTAAGGTCCTTCATGGTCTGGGTTCAGAGGTCCCTCTGAGGCCCTTCATGGTCCCGCTTCAGAGGTCCCGCTGAGGTCCTTCATGGTCTGGGTTCAGAGGTCCCTCTGAGGTCCTTCATGGTCTGGGTTCAGAGGTCCCTCTGAGGTCCTTCATGGTCTGGGTTCAGAGGTCCCTCTGAGGTCCTTCATGGTCTGGGTTCAGAGGTCCCTCTGAGGTCCTTCATGGTCTGGGTTCAGAGGTCCCTCTAAGGTCCTTCATGGTCTGGGTTCAGAGGTCCCTCTGAGGCCCTTCATGGTCTGGGTTCAGAGGTCCTTCATGGTCTGGGTTCAGAGGTCCCTCTGAGGCCCTTCATGGTCTGGGTTCAGAGGTCCCTCTAAGGTCCTTCATGGTCTGGGTTCAGAGGTCCCTCTGAGGTCCTTCATGGTCTGGGTTCAGAGGTCCCTCTGAGGTCCTTCATGGTCTGGGTTCAGAGGTCCCGCTGAGGTCCTTCATGGTCTGGGTTCAGAGGTCCCTCTAAGGTCCTTCATGGTCTGGGTTCAGAGGTCCTTCATGGTCTGGGTTCAGAGGTCCTTCATGGTCTGGGTTCAGAGGTCCCCTCTGAGGTCCTTCATGGTCTGGGTTCAGAGGTCCCTCTGAGGTCCTTCATGGTCTGGGTTCAGAGGTCCCTCTGAGGTCCTTCATGGTCTGGGTTCAGAGGTCCCTCTGAGGTCCTTCATGGTCCGCTTCAGAGGTCCCCTCTGCTGGTCCTTCATGGTCTGGCTTCAGAGGTCCCTCTGAGGTCCTTCAGTGGTCTGGGTTCAGAGGTCCCTCTGAGGTCCTTCATGGTCTGGCTTCAGAGGTCCCTCTGAGGTCTTCATGGTCTGATGGTTCAGAGGTCCCTCTGAGGCCCTTCATGGTCCCTGGCTTCAGAGGGGTCCGCTCTCTGAGGTCCTTCATGGTCTGGGTTCAGAGGTCCCTCTGAGGTCCTTCATGGTCTGGGTTCAGAGGTCCCTCTGAGGTCCTTCATGGTCTGGGTTCAGAGGTCCCTCTGAGTCCTTCCTGGGTTCAGAGGTCCCTCTGAGGTCCTTCATGGTCTGGGTTCAGAGGTCCCTCTGAGGTCCTTTCATGGTCTGGGTTCAGAGGTCCCTCTGAGGTCCTTCATGGTCTGGGTTCAGAGGTCCCTCTGAGGTCCTTCATGGTCTGGGTTCAGAGGTCCCTCTGAGGTCCTTCATCTCTGGGAGGTCCCTCTGGTCCTTCATGGGTTCAGGTCTCAGAGGTCCCTCTGAGGTCCTTCATGGTCTGGGTTCAGAGGTCCCTCTGAGGTCCTTCATGGTCTGGGTCAGAGGTCCCTCTGAGGTCCAGAGGTCCCTCTGAGTCCTTGGTCTGGGTTCAGAGGTCCCTCTGAGGTCTCATGGTCGGTTCAGAGGTCTGGGTCTTCATGGTCTGGGTTCAGAGGTCCCTCTGAGGTCTTCATGGTCTGGGTTCAGAGGTCCCTCTGAGGTCCTTCATGGTCTGGGTTCAGAGGTCCCTCTGAGTCCTTCATGGTCTGGGTTCAGAGTCCCTCTGAGGTCCCTTCATGGTCTGGTTCAGAGGTCCCTCTGAGGTCCTTCATGTCGCAATGCCTCTGGTTCAGAGGTCCCTCTGAGGTCCTTCATGGTCTGGGTTCAGAGGTCCCTCTGAGGTCCTTCATGGTCTGGGTTCAGAGGTCCCTCTGAGGTCCTTCATGGTCTGGGTTCAGAGGTCCCTCTGAGGTCCTTCATGGTCTGGGTTCAGAGGTCCCTCTGAGGTCCTTCATGGTCTGGGTTCAGAGGTCCCCCTCTGAGGTCCCCTTCAGGTCCCTCTGGTCTGGCTGGGTTCAGAGGTCCCTCTGAGGTCCTTCATGGGCCTCATGGCCGCTTCAGAGGTCCCTCTGAGGTCCTTCATGGTCTGGGTTCAGAGGTCCCTCTGAGGTCCTTCATGGTCTGGGTTCAGAGGTCCCTCTGAGGTCCTTCATGGTCTGGGGGTTCTGAGGTCCCTCTGGTTCAGAGGTCTCTGGGTTCATGGTCTGGTTCAGAGGTCCCTCTGAGGCCCTTCAGGTCCCGCTTCAGAGGTCCCTCTGAGGTCCTTCATGGTCTGGGTTCAGAGGTCCCTCTGAGGTCCTTCATGGTCTGGGTTCAGAGGTCCCTCTGAGGTCCTTCATGGTCTGGGTTCAGAGGTCCCTCTGAGGTCCTTCATGGTCCGGGTCCAGGTCCAGATTCTTATCGACTAAAACAAACACATGTCAGATATATTGATACATTTATTTCCTGCAGTTGAACAAAAACATTGAACTTAAAAAAGACAAAATAAACACAAATCTGTTCAAACAGAAGGAAACGACACTTTACAACGATCAAAGTGCAACAGAATCTGACCTAGTGCGGTGCTGTGCGGTGCTGTGTGGTGCTGTGTGGTGCTGTGCGGTGCTGTGTGGTGCTGTGCGGTGCTGTGTGGTGCTGTGTGGTGCTGTGTGGTGCTGTGTGGTGCTGTGTGGTGCTGTGTGGTGCTGTGCGGTGCTGTGTGGTGCTGTGTGGTGCTGTGTGGTGCTGTGTGGTGCTGTGTGGTGCTGTGTGGTGCTGTGTGGTGCTGTGTGGTGCTGTGTGGTGCTGTGTGGTGCTGTGTGGTGCTGTGCGGTGCTGTGCGGTGCTGTGTGGTGCTGTGTGGTGCTGTGTGGTGCTGTGTGGTGCTGTGTGATGCTGTGTGATGCTGTGCGGTGCTGTGTGGTGCTGTGTGATGCTGTGCGGTGCTGTGTGGTGCTGTGTGGTGCTGTGTGGTGTTGTGATGTGCAGTGTTGTGATGTGTGGTCAAGTGTAGTGAAGTGTTGTGTAGCGTTGTGTAGCGTTGTGTAGTGTAGTGTTGTGTAGCGTTGTGTAGTGTAGTGTTGTGTAGCGTTGTGTGGTGTAGTATTGTGTAGCGTTGTGTAGTGTAGCGTTGTGTAGCGTTGTGTAGTGTAGCGTTGTGTAGTGTAGTGTTGTGTAGTGTTGTGTAGTGTAGTGTTGTGTAGTGTAGTGTTGTGTAGCGTTGTGTGGTTTAGTGTTGTGTAGTGTAGTGTTGTGTAGCGTTGTGTGGTGTAGTGTTGTGTAGCGTTGTGTAGTGTAGTGTTGTGTAGCGTTTGTGTAGTGTAGTGTTGTGTAGCGTTTGTGTGGTGTAGTGTTGTGTAGCATTTGTGTGGTGTAGAGTTGTGTAGTGTTGTGTAGTGTAGTGTTGTGTAGCGTTGTGTGGTGTAGTGTTGTGTAGCGTTGTGTAGTGTAGTGTTGTGTAGCGTTTGTGTGGTGGCGAGTATAGAAACCTGCTGCTCCTTCCTGGTCCCTTTGAAGCAGTTTAAAACATCTAAAACATTTACAGATAATAAATATGTTCCTCTTATGGATATTTAAAAGCATTTTGAAGCAGAAAGAGTCTCATTAGCTAATGTGTTTGAGAGAGCTAATGTGTTTGAGAGAGCTAATGTGTTTGAGAGAGCTAATGTGTTTGAGAGAGCTAATGTGTTTGAGAGAGCTAATGTGTTTGAGAGAGCTAATGAACCGTAACATCTGTGAAGAACTTAAAGATGTCATGAGTGTGAAACTTGGAGCAGCACAGATCGAGCGTAGAGTTAAAAGTGCTACAGGAACCAAAGGTACAAGCGCAGCAAAGGTACAAGCGCAGCAAAGGTACAAGCGCAGCAAAGGTACAAGCGCAGCAAAGGTACAAGCGCAGCAAAGGTACAAGCGCAGCAAAGGTACAAGCGCAGCAAAGGTACAAGCGCAGCAAAGGTACAAGACTTCAGTAGTTTTCTTATTATGGCGAGTTCTTCAAAGCGTCGGGACTGAAACCTCTGACATCAGCCCTGGATCCAGTCTGGTATTTAGGCTCTGATGGTCCCACCGAGTCCAGTCTGGTGTTTAGGCTCTGATGGTCCCACCGAGTCCAGTCTGGTGTTTAGGCTCTGATGGTCCCACCGAGTCCAGTCTGGTGTTTAGGCTCTGATGGTCCCACCGAGTCCAGTCTGGTGTTTAGGCTCTGATGGTCCCACCGAGTCCAGTCTGGTATTTAGGCTCTGATGGTCCCACCGAGTCCAGTCTGGTGTTTAGGCTCTGATGGTCCCACCGAGTCCAGTCTGGTGTTTAGGCTCTGATGGTCCCGCCGAGCCCAGTCTGGTGTTTAGGCTCTGATGGTCCCGCAGAGCCCAGTCTGGTGTTTAGGCTCTGATGGTCCCACCGAGTCCAGTCTGGTGTTTAGGCTCTGATGGTCCCGCAGAGCCCAGTCTGGTGTTTAGGCTCTGATGGTCCCACCGAGTCCAGTCTGGTGTTTAGGCTCTGATGGTCCCACCGAGTCCAGTCTGGTGTTTAGGCTCTGATGGTCCCGCCGAGCCCAGTCTGGTGTTTAGGCTCTGATGGTCCCACCGAGTCCAGTCTGGTGTTTAGGCTCTGATGGTCCCACCGAGTCCAGTCTGGTGTTTAGGCTCTGATGGTCCCGCCGAGCCCAGTCTGGTGTTTAGGCTCTGATGGTCCCACCGAGTCCAGTCTGGTGTTTAGGCTCTGATGGTCCCGCAGAGTCCAGTCTGGTGTTTAGGCTCTGATGGTCCCACCGAGTCCAGTCTGGTGTTTAGGCTCTGATGGTCCCGCAGAGTCCAGTCTGGTGTTTAGGCTCTGATGGTCCTAACCCTAAACCTGCAGTTTGTGTGTTTAGAGCAGTTAACATGAAGTCTCTGTGACTGTGTTTCTGCTCCACTGAGCCTGTGCACATGTGACTCTAATAAACAAACTTGGCAGAGCAGGACCAGACCGATCCCAGGAGGAGTAGGGACCAGGACCAGGACCAGACCGATCCCAGGAGGAGTAGGGACCAGGAGCAGGACCAGACCGATCCCAGGAGGAGTAGGGACCAGGAGCAGGACCAGACCGATCCCAGGAGGAGTAGGGACCAGGACCAGGACCAGACCGATCCCAGGAGGAGTAGGGACCAGGAGCAGGACCAGACCGATCCCAGGAGGAGTAGGGACCAGGACCAGGACCAGACCGATCCCAGGAGGAGTAGGGACCAGGACCAGGACCAGGACCAGACCGATCCCAGGAGGAGTAGGGAACAGGAGCAGGGACAGACTGGATCCAAAACTACATCTGTTAGTGCAAGGGAAAACTCTGTGCTAGAGTTGGAGAGAAAATGAACTATTTGGCTCGGTGTGAACACATCTTTGACACTAAAGTCACTAAAGTGTGAAGACATTCACCCAAAGAGCATCCAACGTTCACACTTCAGGCAAAGCTACTGGAGCTGAGACACTGCAGCTTCTCCCTCAGCGACTGGACCATCCTGGGCTGGTCCATCCTGGGCTGGTCCATCCTGGGCTGGACCATCCTGGGCTGCTCGGTCCACAGGTACTTCTCCAGGTGGTGGCGCTGCAGAGCACTCAGAGACTCGCAGGTGCGGACCGGCGTTCCAGGGAGACTGTGCGATAGGCCTCTGGGCGGACGCTGTTCCAATTTGGGGTTCGGGTCCGGCTCAGTTTCGTCCTCAGAGCGGATCTCCACGTAGTCGTCATCGTCCTCGCCGTGGTCTTTGAAATTGACGAGATAGTTCTGCGTTGCGGCAAAGATGCTGAGCGCAGAGTTACGGTTCAGCAGCTGGACCTGTTTCCCGTCTGTGATGTCTGAACTTTCCGGGAGGCTGTGATGGCGTCCGGTCCGTCCCAGACTCGGGAAGTGTCCAGAACATCTGTTGGTTTTCTTGGTCTCAGATCTGGGCTGGTCCCGAGCGAACAGAGTCGTGTTGAAAGAAGAGTGTCTCTTTATCGTGCTGTAAACGTGGTCCTCTTCTTCACACTGGGCCGACACACACGAGCTCCAGCGCTGGGAGGGAGGGGCCAGTGCTTTAGGGGCAGCGGGCGGGGCTTTAGGGGCAGCGGGCGGGGCTTTAGGGGCAGCGGGCAAGGCTTTAGGGGCAGTGGACGAGGCTTTAGGGGCAGCGGGCGGGGCTTTAGGGGCAGTGGACGAGGCTTTAGGGGCAGTGGACGAGGCTTTAGGGGCAGCGGGCAAGGCTTTAGGGGCAGGGCTTGGGGGGAGGGGAGGGCGGAGGGGGGTGGAGGACGTCATGAAGCTGGCGAGTTCACGGTTGCTGTAAGTGGAGTGGAGCCAGTCCTGATCGGAGCAAGTCTCAGGCAGGGAGGGGGAGGAGGACAGGTGGTGGGGGTGAGAGGGGGAGGAGGACAGGTGGTGGGGGTGAGAGGGGGAGGAGGACAGGTGGTGGGGGTGAGAGGGGGAGGCAGGGGGGGGGGGACCAAAGGGGGAGCCTGGAGGGAACAAGACCTGGTCGTACAGCTGGGAGTACTCTGCTATCCGAGCACCTGCAAAAAGGACAGAAACAGTTTATACAAATATGAGCTGTTCAGACCAAAGAGAAACCAGAGAGAGACCAGAGAGAGACCAGAGTGAGACCAGAGAGAGACCAGAGAGAGACCAGAGAGAGACCAGAGAGAGACCAGAGAGAGACCAGAGTGAGACAAAGAGAGACCAGAGAGAGACCAGAGAGAGAGACCAGAGAGAGAGACCAGAGTGAGACTAAAGAGAGACCAGAGAGAGAAACTGAGGAATGGAGACTTTTGATTCGAGTCAGACATGTTTTTAACCCATTTAACGTTTCAACAAGAAATGGCTTCACACAGAAAACAATTATCTCTGAAATATGTCCCAAACTTTCCACTGTACATTTGCAACATCTCCATATTTCCCCTCATCAGAAAAGTCACATGCAGCACCTTTAATTGGTTAAACCAGGGCCGTATTTAAAGCCAACACATGTGAACATAAGGACAGGAGTCCTGTTGGGTCAAAACCTTCCTACTTCTACAGTAAATAAACATGGTCTTTACCTATCGCTGCACCTCCTTGTTTCTTCTCCTCCAAGATGGCTGCCAGGTCTTTCTGTTTCTTCTCTGCTCTGGCTCGAGGGCAGGTGTCCCCAGGATCCATGCTCCTCATCCTCAGAAGCTGATTGGCCTTTTTGATCTTCTGACTGTACTGACGGGCCATCAGGAACACTCTGCTCCTGCTTTTGTCCAGCTCCGACGAAAAGTCTGCAGAATCTCCCAACAGCAGCGAACTGGAAGCTAGCGGCAGATCCAGACTTGCCAGTTCACCGGGGAACAACAGGTCTTTTGGCAATGGAGATTTGGGCGAGAGCTCGACGAGGTCATCGTCTTCGTCCAGCCGGAAACTCCCACTGCTGAGCCGCACCAGTCTGTTCCGGAGACTCGTGACTGTTCCGGGCTGTGGCTCAGGTGTCGTAGATGTTTGAGCGACCTCTTCTTCAGCTGTGACTTCGATATCGGGGACGGTGAGGACTGGGATACTGACCGTGGAAGGCTTTCTTGAAGGAGGACTACAGGTTTGACACAGACTTTTACTCGTCAGCTTCTTCTTCGGCGATTTGTTCACTGGAAAAGCCGCGGGAAGACGGACAGGTTTTTTCTCATTGACCTTGATGTAATTTTCTAAGTCGTTCCAAATCTCGTCGACGCGCTCCGACATTCTGTCGCCTTTGTGTCGGTGGAGCGTGTCCGAAGCGCCGGACGAAGACAGGTCTAAGTCGGACCAACAGGAAGTGACGTTGTTGTTTGCCTCGTCTTCAAACTGCAGGCTTTCCTCGGATGCAAAATCTTTTAGACTCTCAGCCAAGTCCTGCTCCGACACCAACAAACTCTCCACATCATGCTCCATATCAACGTATGAGTCTTTAGCCGGGAGTGAAAACCTGAAAACATACGGTATCGTAAACGTTCTCCTCCATTTTCAGCTCTGAAGTTCTTGTTGCTTCTTGCGTCGACAATCTGGTACTTTCTGATGATCTTCTCCACCACTGCTCGCTATGCGGACATGCTTACCGGGAGGCGGGGCCTCCACGGACGGTGCCGGGACGGGCTCCTGGTGCGGCCCCGGGACGGGCTCCTGGTGCCAGCTCGCGGGCCGTGGACTCGCTCTGAGGGGGCGTTGGGGGTTGGCTGGGGTTCAGACGGGACAAAACATCTGGTAGATGTCTTCGTCGTCCGGCTGCATGGTGCTGTGCTGTTGGGGGGGGGGAACATGGCACGGCGAGCGCGGTGGTCCGCCCAGATGCTGCTCACCGATTGGTCGGTCTGGTGATGATCACAGTGGGGACAGGGGAGTCAGGGGGGGTCTCCGAGACTCTGGAAGAGCGGCGTAGAGGGGGTTGTCGCGCTGCTGTCGCGGGACAGGGACTCTCTGGCTTTCTGCGGACAAAAGATAAGTGTTCTAAGTCAAGTCTGCCGCTTGGCGATATTCTAAAGAAACACAAAGTCTCCTTTCATGCTTATGCTGATGACCTGCAAATCTACCTTAAAAGTCCACCTCAGTGTCAGTTCCCACACTCACACACACTACACACACTTTACACACACACGCACACACACTATGCACACTATGTGTCTCCTTTCATGCTTATGCTGATGACCTGCAGATCTACCTTTAAAGTCCACCTCAGTGTCAATTACAACACTGCTAGATTGTCTCCAGGAAGTTAAAACTTGACCCTAAATGTTTTAATTCTCAACAAGAGTAAAACTGAAAGTTTTTAGCTCCAGCCTCCCTGTGGTAGCCTGGTCGTACCACACCATAGTACCAATTACATTTCATACAAAGGTCTGGAGGTGCTCCATTGAGCTCAGTTTAATGACAGGAGGGGTTAACTCCTTTTGCAGATTGAAACAATTGGATCTAAGTTTACCGTGACGTATGTAGTGCGCCCGAGTCTGTCGTTAGCCTTTAGCATTTAGCCTAGCCATCTCCTTTGCCGCTAATGGAGCCCGTGGGGAGTAGCGCCACAATTTTTCCAACAATTACATTGCCACCACCTCCTCCCCCACCCACACCCCCACCCACCCCCCCCTCCCCACCACACCACCATCCCACACTCCCACCCCACCCCCCACCCCCCCACCCCCTCCCCCACCCACTCACACATCCCCCCCACCAATCCCCTCCTCCCCCCAACCCCACCACCCCACCCTCATCCCCACCCCACACTTCAACCCCCCACCACCCCCCACACCATCCCCCCACCCCCACACCCCTCACCCACCTCACCCACCTCCAACCCACCTCCCCCCCCAACCCCAACCCCTCCACCCCCTCTCCCCCCTCCCACCACACCAACCCCACCCCCCCCAACCCAACAACCATCCCACACACCTCCCAACCACCCCCACAACCCCCTCCCCCCCCCCCCCCCCCCCCCCCCACCCCCCCCCCCCCCCCCCCCCCCCCCCCCCCCCCCCCCCCCCCCCCCCCCCCCCCCCCCCCCCCCCCCCCCCCCCCCCCCCCCCCCCCCCCCCCCCCCACCCCCCCCCCCCCCCCCCCCCCCCCCCCCCCCCCCCCCCCCCCCCCCCCCCCCCCCCCCCCCCCCCCCCCCCCCCCCCCCCCCCCCCCCCCCCCCCCCCCCCCCCCCCCCCCCCCCCCCCCCCCCCCCCCCCCCCCCCCCCCCCCCCCCCCCCCCCCCCCCCCCCCCCCCCCCCCCCCCCCCCCCCCCCCCCCCCCCCCCCCCCCCCCCCCCCCCCCCCCCCCCCCCCCCCCCCCCCCCCCCCCCCCCCCCCCCCCCCCCCCCCCCCCCCCCCCCCCCCCCCCCCCCCCCCCCCCCCCCCCCCCCCCCCACCCCTCAAACAGGAAGGTTGTAGTTTTGCAATGGCGAAAAATGCAATAGTAAAGTAATCTGGTCTGGTTCTATCAAGAAATTGAAGCCGGAGCAAGAGGAATATTTAGCAACTGTAATTGTTGGAAAAATTGTGGCGCTACTCCCCACGGGCTCCATTAGCGGCAAAGGAGATGGCTAGGCTAAATGCTAAAGGCTAACGACAGACTCGGGCGCACTACATACGTCACGGTAAACTTAGATCCAATTGTTTCAATCTGCAAAAGGAGTTAACCCCTCCTGTCATTAAACTGAGCTCAATGGAGCACCTCCAGACCTTTGTATGAAATGTAATTGGTACTATGGTGTGGTACGACCAGGCTACCACAGGGAGGCTGGAGCTAAAAACTTTCAGTTTTACTCTTGTTGAGAATTAAAACATTTAGGGTCAAGTTTTAACTTCCTGGAGACAATCTAGCAGTGTTGTAATTGACACTGAGGTGGACTTTAAAGGTAGATCTGCAGGTCATCAGCATAAGCATGAAAGGAGACACATAGTGTGCATAGTGTGTGTGCGTGTGTGTGTAAAGTGTGTGTAGTGTGTGTGAGTGTGGGAACTGACACTGAGGTGGACTTTTAAGGTAGATTTGCAGGTCATCAGCATAAGCATGAAAGGAGACTTTGTGTTTCTTTAGAATATCGCCAAGCGGCAGACTTGACTTTAACACTTATCTTTTGTCCGCAGAAAGCCAGAGAGTCCCTGTCCCGCGACAGCAGCCGACACCCCCCTCTACGCCGCTCTTCCAGAGTCTCGGAGACCCCCCCTGACTCCCCTGTCCCCTCTGTGATCATCACCCAGACCGACCAATCGGTGAGCAGCATCTGGGCGGACCACCGCGCTCGCCGTGCCATGTTCCCCCCCCAACAGCACAGCACCATGCAGCCGGACGACGAAGACATCTACCAGATGTTTGTCCCGTCTGAACCCAGCCACCCCCAACGCCCCCTCAGAGCGAGTCCACGGCCCGCGAGCTGGCACCAGGAGCCCGTCCCGGGGCCGCACCAGGAGCCCGTCCCGGCACCGTCCGTGGAGGCCCCGCCTCCCGGTAAGCTTGTCCGCAGAGCGAGCAGTGGTGGAGAGAAGGCCTCTGAGCAGAGTCCAGACAGTGACCTGTGCTGCAGCCTGGACACCGTCCACACTGAGTCTTCAAGCAACGACTTCTCGGCTTCTTCTTCTTCGGAGCATCTGGACCATGTTGAAAACGTGTACGACAACATTCACTTCCAGGATCTGCAGCGAATGGGCCTCGTCAGAAGAGAGCACCAACAGGAACCAGTAGAAGATACTGGGATCAAACCAGAATCATCATCAGAAAGTACCAGATTGTCGACGCAAGAAGCAACAAGAACTTCAGAGCTGAAAATGGAGGAGAACGTTTACGATACCGTATGTTTTCAGGAACTCCCGGCTAAAGACTCATACGTTGATATGGAGCATGATGTGGAGAGTTTGTTGGTGTCGGAGCAGGACTTGGCTGAGAGTCTAAAAGATTTTGCATCCGAGGAAAGCCTGCAGTTTGAAGACGAGGCAAACAACAACGTCACTTCCTGTTGGTCCGACTTAGACCTGTCTTCGTCCGGCGCTTCGGACACGCTCCACCGACACAAAGGCGACAGAATGTCGGAGCGCGTCGACGAGATTTGGAACGACTTAGAAAATTACATCAAGGTCAATGAGAAAAAACCTGTCCGTCTTCCCGCGGCTTTTCCAGTGAACAAATCGCCGAAGAAGAAGCTGACGAGTAAAAGTCTGTGTCAAACCTGTAGTCCTCCTTCAAGAAAGCCTTCCACGGTCAGTATCCCAGTCCTCACCGTCCCCGATATCGAAGTCACAGCTGAAGAAGAGGTCGCTCAAACATCTACGACACCTGAGCCACAGCCCGGAACAGTCACGAGTCTCCGGAACAGACTGGTGCGGCTCAGCAGTGGGAGTTTCCGGCTGGACGAAGACGATGACCTCGTCGAGCTCTCGCCCAAATCTCCATTGCCAAAAGACCTGTTGTTCCCCGGTGAACTGGCAAGTCTGGATCTGCCGCTAGCTTCCAGTTCGCTGCTGTTGGGAGATTCTGCAGACTTTTCGTCGGAGCTGGACAAAAGCAGGAGCAGAGTGTTCCTGATGGCCCGTCAGTACAGTCAGAAGATCAAAAAGGCCAATCAGCTTCTGAGGATGAGGAGCATGGATCCTGGGGACACCTGCCCTCGAGCCAGAGCAGAGAAGAAACAGAAAGACCTGGCAGCCATCTTGGAGGAGAAGAAACAAGGAGGTGCAGCGATAGGTAAAGACCATGTTTATTTACTGTAGAAGTAGGAAGGTTTTGACCCAACAGGACTCCTGTCCTTATGTTCACATGTGTTGGCTTTAAATACGGCCCTGGTTTAACCAATTAAAGGTGCTGCATGTGACTTTTCTGATGAGGGGAAATATGGAGATGTTGCAAATGTACAGTGGAAAGTTTGGGACATATTTCAGAGATAATTGTTTTCTGTGTGAAGCCATTTCTTGTTGAAACGTTAAATGGGTTAAAAACATGTCTGACTCGAATCAAAAGTCTCCATTCCTCAGTTTCTCTCTCTGGTCTCTCTTTAGTCTCACTCTGGTCTCTCTCTCTGGTCTCTCTCTCTGGTCTCTCTCTGGTCTCTCTTTGTCTCACTCTGGTCTCTCTCTGGTCTCTCTCTGGTCTCTCTCTGGTCTCTCTCTGGTCTCTCTCTGGTCTCTCTCTGGTCTCACTCTGGTCTCTCTCTGGTCTCTCTCTCTGGTCTCTCTCTGGTCTCTCTCCGGTCTCTCTCTGGTCTCTCTCTGGTCTCTCTCTGGTCTCACTCTGGTCTCTCTCTGGTCTCTCTCTGGTTTCTCTTTGGTCTGAACAGCTCATATTTGTATAAACTGTTTCTGTCCTTTTTGCAGGTGCTCGGATAGCAGAGTACTCCCAGCTGTACGACCAGGTCTTGTTCCCTCCAGGCTCCCCCTTTGGTCCCCCCCCCCCTGCCTCCCCCTCTCACCCCCACCACCTGTCCTCCTCCCCCTCTCACCCCCACCACCTGTCCTCCTCCCCCTCTCACCCCCACCACCTGTCCTCCTCCCCCTCCCTGCCTGAGACTTGCTCCGATCAGGACTGGCTCCACTCCACTTACAGCAACCGTGAACTCGCCAGCTTCATGACGTCCTCCACCCCCCTCCGCCCTCCCCTCCCCCCAAGCCCTGCCCCTAAAGCCTTGCCCGCTGCCCCTAAAGCCTCGTCCACTGCCCCTAAAGCCTCGTCCACTGCCCCTAAAGCCCCGCCCGCTGCCCCTAAAGCCTCGTCCACTGCCCCTAAAGCCTTGCCCGCTGCCCCTAAAGCCCCGCCCGCTGCCCCTAAAGCCCCGCCCGCTGCCCCTAAAGCACTGGCCCCTCCCTCCCAGCGCTGGAGCTCGTGTGTGTCGGCCCAGTGTGAAGAAGAGGACCACGTTTACAGCACGATAAAGAGACACTCTTCTTTCAACACGACTCTGTTCGCTCGGGACCAGCCCAGATCTGAGACCAAGAAAACCAACAGATGTTCTGGACACTTCCCGAGTCTGGGACGGACCGGACGCCATCACAGCCTCCCGGAAAGTTCAGACATCACAGACGGGAAACAGGTCCAGCTGCTGAACCGTAACTCTGCGCTCAGCATCTTTGCCGCAACGCAGAACTATCTCGTCAATTTCAAAGACCACGGCGAGGACGATGACGACTACGTGGAGATCCGCTCTGAGGACGAAACTGAGCCGGACCCGAACCCCAAATTGGAACAGCGTCCGCCCAGAGGCCTATCGCACAGTCTCCCTGGAACGCCGGTCCGCACCTGCGAGTCTCTGAGTGCTCTGCAGCGCCACCACCTGGAGAAGTACCTGTGGACCGAGCAGCCCAGGATGGTCCAGCCCAGGATGGACCAGCCCAGGATGGACCAGCCCAGGATGGTCCAGTCGCTGAGGGAGAAGCTGCAGTGTCTCAGCTCCAGTAGCTTTGCCTGAAGTGTGAACGTTGGATGCTCTTTGGGTGAATGTCTTCACACTTTAGTGACTTTAGTGTCAAAGATGTGTTCACACCGAGCCAAATAGTTCATTTTCTCTCCAACTCTAGCACAGAGTTTTCCCTTGCACTAACAGATGTAGTTTTGGATCCAGTCTGTCCCTGCTCCTGTTCCCTACTCCTCCTGGGATCGGTCTGGTCCTGGTCCTGGTCCTGGTCCCTACTCCTCCTGGGATCGGTCTGGTCCTGGTCCTGGTCCCTACTCCTCCTGGGATCGGTCTGGTCCTGCTCCTGGTCCCTACTCCTCCTGGGATCGGTCTGGTCCTGGTCCTGGTCCCTACTCCTCCTGGGATCGGTCTGGTCCTGCTCCTGGTCCCTACTCCTCCTGGGATCGGTCTGGTCCTGCTCCTGGTCCCTACTCCTCCTGGGATCGGTCTGGTCCTGGTCCTGGTCCCTACTCCTCCTGGGATCGGTCTGGTCCTGCTCTGCCAAGTTTGTTTATTAGAGTCACATGTGCACAGGCTCAGTGGAGCAGAAACACAGTCACAGAGACTTCATGTTAACTGCTCTAAACACACAAACTGCAGGTTTAGGGTTAGGACCATCAGAGCCTAAACACCAGACTGGACTCTGCGGGACCATCAGAGCCTAAACACCAGACTGGACTCGGTGGGACCATCAGAGCCTAAACACCAGACTGGACTCTGCGGGACCATCAGAGCCTAAACACCAGACTGGACTCGGTGGGACCATCAGAGCCTAAACACCAGACTGGGCTCGGCGGGACCATCAGAGCCTAAACACCAGACTGGACTCGGTGGGACCATCAGAGCCTAAACACCAGACTGGACTCGGTGGGACCATCAGAGCCTAAACACCAGACTGGGCTCGGCGGGACCATCAGAGCCTAAACACCAGACTGGACTCGGTGGGACCATCAGAGCCTAAACACCAGACTGGACTCGGTGGGACCATCAGAGCCTAAACACCAGACTGGGCTCTGCGGGACCATCAGAGCCTAAACACCAGACTGGACTCGGTGGGACCATCAGAGCCTAAACACCAGACTGGGCTCTGCGGGACCATCAGAGCCTAAACACCAGACTGGGCTCGGCGGGACCATCAGAGCCTAAACACCAGACTGGACTCGGTGGGACCATCAGAGCCTAAACACCAGACTGGACTCGGTGGGACCATCAGAGCCTAAATACCAGACTGGACTCGGTGGGACCATCAGAGCCTAAAACCAGACTGGACTCGGTGGGACCATCAGAGCCTAAACACCAGACTGGACTCGGTGGGACCATCAGAGCCTAAACACCAGACTGGACTCGGTGGGACCATCAGAGCCTAAACACCAGACTGGACTCGGTGGGACCATCAGAGCCTAAACACCAGACTGGACTCGGTGGGACCATCAGAGCCTAAACACCAGACTGGACTCGGTGGGACCATCAGAGCCTAAATACCAGACTGGATCCAGGGCTGATGTCAGAGGTTTCCAGTCCCGACGCTTTGAAGAACTCGCCATAATAAGAAAACTACTGAAGTCTTGTACCCTTTGCTGCGCTTGTACCTTTGCTGCGCTTGTACCTTTGCTGCGCTTGTACCTTTGCTGCGCTTGTACCTTTGCTGCGCTTGTACCTTTGCTGCGCTTGTACCTTTGCTGCGCTTGTACCTTTGCTGCGCTTGTACCTTTGGTTCCTGTAGCACTTTTAACTCTACGCTCGATCTGTGCTGCTCCAAGTTTCACACTCATGACATCTTTAAGTTCTTCACAGATGTTACGGTTCATTAGCTCTCTCAAACACATTAGCTCTCTCAAACACATTAGCTCTCTCAAACACATTAGCTCTCTCAAACACATTAGCTCTCTCAAACACATTAGCTCTCTCAAACACATTAGCTCTCTCAAACACATTAGCTCTCTCAAACACATTAGCTCTCTCAAACACATTAGCTCTCTCAAACACATTAGCTCTCTCAAACACATTAGCTCTCTCAAACACATTAGCTCTCTCAAACACATTAGCTCTCTCAAACACATTAGCTCTCTCAAACACATTAGCTAATGAGACTCTTTCTGCTTCAAAATGCTTTTAAATATCCATAAGAGGAACATATTTATTATCTGTAAATGTTTTAGATGTTTTAAACTGCTTCAAAGGGACCAGGAAGGAGCAGCAGGTTTCTATACTCGCCACCACACAAACGCTACACAACACTACACTACACAACGCTACACAACACTACACCACACAACGCTACACAACACTACACTACACAACACTACACAACTCTACACCACACAAATGCTACACAACACTACACCACACAAACGCTACACAACACTACACTACACAAACGCTACACAACACTACACTACACAACGCTACACAACACTACACCACACAACGCTACACAACACTACACTACACAACACTAAACCACACAACGCTACACAACACTACACTACACAACACTACACTACACAACACTACACAACACTACACTACACAACGCTACACTACACAACGCTACACAACGCTACACTACACAACGCTACACAATACTACACCACACAACGCTACACAACACTACACTACACAACGCTACACAACACTACACTACACAACGCTACACAACGCTACACAACACTTCACTACACTTGACCACACATCACAACACTGCACATCACAACACCACACAGCACCACACAGCACCACACAGCACCGCACAGCATCACACAGCACCACACAGCACCGCACAGCATCACACAGCATCACACAGCACCACACAGCACCACACAGCACCACACAGCACCACACAGCACCGCACAGCACCGCACAGCACCACACAGCACCACACAGCACCACACAGCACCACACAGCACCACACAGCACCACACAGCACCACACAGCACCACACAGCACCGCACAACACCACACAGCACCACACAGCACCGCACAGCACCGCACTAGGTCAGATTCTGTTGCACTTTGATCGTTGTAAAGTGTCGTTTCCTTCTGTTTGAACAGATTTGTGTTTATTTTGTCTTTTTTAAGTTCAATGTTTTTGTTCAACTGCAGGAAATAAATGTATCAATATATCTGACATGTGTTTGTTTTAGTCGATAAGAATCTGGACCTGGACCCGGACCATGAAGGACCTCAGAGGGACCTCTGAACCCAGACCATGAAGGACCTCAGAGGGACCTCTGAACCCAGACCATGAAGGACCTCAGAGGGACCTCTGAACCCAGACCATGAAGGACCTCAGAGGGACCTCTGAACCCAGACCATGAAGGACCTCAGAGGGACCTCTGAACCCAGACCATGAAAGACCTCAGAGGGACCTCTGAACCCAGACCATGAAGGACCTCAGAGGGACCTCTGAACCCAGACCATGAAGGACCTCAGAGGGACCTCTGAACCCAGACCATGAAGGACCTCAGAGGGACCTCTGAAGCGGGACCATGAAGGGCCTCAGAGGGACCTCTGAACCCAGACCATGAAGGACCTCAGAGGGACCTCTGAACCCAGACCATGAAGGACCTCAGAGGGACCTCTGAAGCGGGACCATGAAGGGCCTCAGAGGGACCTCTGAACCCAGACCATGAAAGACCTCAGAGGGACCTCTGAACCCAGACCATGAAGGACCTCAGAGGGACCTCTGAACCCAGACCATGAAGGACCTCAGAGGGACCTCTGAACCCAGACCATGAAGGACCTCAGAGGGACCTCTGAACCCAGACCATGAAGGACCTCAGAGGGACCTCTGAACCCAGACCATGAAGGACCTCAGAGGGACCTCTGAACCCAGACCATGAAGGACCTCAGAGGGACCTCTGAACCCAGACCATGAAGGACCTCAGAGGGACCTCTGAACCCAGACCATGAAGGACCTCAGAGGGACCTCTGAAGCGGGACCATGAAGGGCCTCAGAGGGACCTCTGAAGCCAGACCATGAAGGACCTCAGAGGGACCTCTGAACCCAGACCATGAAGGACCTCAGAGGGACCTCTGAAGCCAGACCATGAAGGACCTCAGAGGGACCTCTGAAGCGGGACCATGAAGGACCTCAGAGGGACCTCTGAACCCAGACCATGAAGGACCTCAGAGGGACCTCTGAACCCAGACCATGAAGGACCTCAGAGGGACCTCTGAACCCAGACCATGAAGGACCTCAGAGGGACCTCTGAACCCAGACCATGAAGGACCTCTGAACCCAGACCATGAAGGACCTCTGAACCCAGACCATGAAGGACCTTAGAGGGACCTCTGAACCCAGACCATGAAGGACCTCAGCGGGACCTCTGAACCCAGACCATGAAGGACCTCAGAGGGACCTCTGAACCCAGACCATGAAGGACCTCAGAGGGACCTCTGAACCCAGACCATGAAGGACCTTAGAGGGACCTCTGAACCCAGACCATGAAGGGCCTCAGAGGGACCTCTGAACCCAGACCATGAAGGACCTCTGAACCCAGACCATGAAGGGCCTCAGAGGGACCTCTGAACCCAGACCATGAAGGACCTTAGAGGGACCTCTGAACCCAGACCATGAAGGACCTCAGAGGGACCTCTGAACCCAGACCATGAAGGACCTCAGAGGGACCTCTGAACCCAGACCATGAAGGACCTCAGAGGGACCTCTGAACCCAGACCATGAAGGACCTCAGAGGGACCTCTGAACCCAGACCATGAAGGACCTCAGCGGGACCTCTGAAGCGGGACCATGAAGGGCCTCAGAGGGACCTCTGAACCCAGACCATGAAGGACCTTAGAGGGACCTCTGAACCCAGACCATGAAGGACCTCAGAGGGACCTCTGAACCCAGACCATGAAGGACCTCAGAGGGACCTCTGAACCCAGACCATGAAGGACCTCTGAACCCAGACCAGGAAGGGCCTCAGAGGGACCTCTGAACCCAGACCATGAAGGACCTCAGAGGGACCTCTGAACCCTGACCATGAAGGACCTTCACTTCCCTGAAGGCCTGATGGGGCAGTTTGGTTCACAGCACAGGGACACATAAAAAACATAACATAAGCAATTTCTCCATACATTCAGACAACAAGGTCTCCACATACAGTTTCCAGTCAATGGCAGTTATAAATAACAGGAAAAAAACACACTAAAACAAAAGAAGACAAAAACTGTCCCCCTCAAGCAAAAACTCACCCCATTTTCTCTGTCTATGTCTGAGTTTAGTTAGAAATAGCTACAGGTACAAAAGAGTGTTTATATCTATTACTCCGAACCATTGGGGTTCTGAGTCTGGAACCATTGGGGTTCTGAGTCTGGAACCATTGGGGTTCTGAGTCTGGAACCATTGGGGTTCTGAGTCTGGAACCAGACAGCAGGTAACTAAACTCTTCATGACGAGGATGAGCCTCATTACCCAGAATCCTCAGAGCCTTGTCACCTGACCAGTGAACAGTTCAGAGAGTGGAGTCTGAGGAGCTCCCAAAGTCTTAGCGCTCAGGTTTACTATTCTGCTGAGATACTTTTCCCTTTGACACTGAGGTCAACAAACCAACTCATCATGGAAAATGTTAAAACTGACTCAACACAGGATTTGTAAAACAGTCTCATTATCGTCCTGTCCACATGAAAAGAAGCAGTCTCCAGAGGCAGAATCTTTCTTACACAGAACATCTGTGTTTTCAGTGAAGTTCAGCCTGTTGTCCATCCATGTCCCCAAATACATGCAACTTTGAACGAGCTCCACTCTTTGACCTTTTATCACCGTGGCCTTGAGGTGATGAGACTTTCCTCTGAAAATCCACACATATATTTTTAGTCTTAAAAACATTCAGCTGCAGGAATGAGTCGTCACACCACTGTATCATGTCCTCAACAACAGGACCATGCTCAGAAGACTAACAACAACAGAGTCATCTGCAAATGTAAGCGTGTGATGATTATCATGGCGGCTGCGACAGTCATTTGTGTACAAGATGTACAGGAGTGGAGACTGTACACAGCCGTGGGGTGAGCCAGTGTACAGGAGCGGGGACAGTACACAGCCGTGGGGTGAGCCAGTGTACAGGAGTGGAGACTGTACACAGCCGTGGGGTGAGCCAGTGTACAGGAGCGGAGACAGTACACAGCCGTGGGGTGAGCCAGTGTACAGGAGCGGGGACAGTACACAGCCGTGGGGTGAGCCAGTGTACAGGAGCGGAGACAGTACACAGCCGTGGGGTGAGCCAGTGTACAGGAGTGGAGACTGTACACAGCCGTGGGGTGAGCCAGTGTACAGGAGCGGGGACAGTACACAGCCGTGGGGTGAGCCAGTGTACAGGAGCGGGGACAGTACACAGCCGTGGGGTGAGCCAGTGTACAGGAGTGGAGACTGTACACAGCCGTGGGGTGAGCCAGTGTACAGGAGTGGAGACTGTACACAGCCGTGGGGTGAGCCAGTGTACAGGAGCGGGGACAGTACACAGCCGTGGGGTGAGCCAGTGTACAGGAGCGGGGACAGTACACAGCCGTGGGGTGAGCCAGTGTACAGGAGCGGGGACAGTACACAGCCGTGGGGTGAGCCAGTGTACAGGAGCGGGGACAGTACACAGCCGTGGGGTGAGCCAGTGTACAGGAGCGGGGACAGTACACAGCCGTGGGGTGAGCCAGTGTACAGGAGCGGGGACAGTACACAGCCGTGGGGTGAGCCAGTGTACAGGAGCGGGGACAGTACACAGCCGTGGGGTGAGCCAGTGTACAGGAGCGGGGACAGTACACAGCCGTGGGGTGAGCCAGTGTACAGGAGCGGGGACAGTACACAGCCGTGGGGTGAGCCAGTGTACAGGAGCGGGGACAGTACACAGCCGTGGGGTGAGCCAGTGTACAGGAGCGGGGACAGTACACAGCCGTGGGGTGAGCCAGTGTACAGGAGCGGGGACAGTACACAGCCGTGGGGTGAGCCAGTGTACAGGAGCGGAGACAGTACACATATACATTTACATACCGCCATGCGCGCGAGGCTCAGCGCACACTCGCAGAGCAAGTACTGTGTATGGAACGTTGTCAATGGAGTATGTTATTTTGTTATTATCATATTAATAAATGTAACGTTAGTCTAGTATTGATCCAGGATCTAGTAGTAAGCAGAGTGCAAGAATGTGTGAAATCAGCCCGCAGCCATGAAACACAGGAAGTTAAATTAAGGCAAGAGCGCAGGAAACATCTGTTTAGAGTAGCCTCAGGCTTACTTTGAGAGAGGCTATGTGTTTGTCTTGAACATAGGAGGTATTGTCTTCACCTAAGGATGTTGGGACATATGTCTTCAATTATCATGTCATGTGACTGTGTGCTTATCACCGATAGTCTGTTTCTGAAGCGCGGTCTTTTGCTTTGGGTTTGCCAGGGAGAGAGCCCAGACTGGAGCACCAGTCTGCCACGTTGCCTGTAATCTTGTATTCTGTAACGTTTATACCCGGACTCTCTGATTATTATCCTGGGGGATTTTAATAAGGGAAACTTGAGCCAGGAATGACCCAAATACAGACAGTTTATCAAATGCCCGACCAGAGAGGAGAACACTCTGGATCACTGCTACACCACCGTGCGCGGAGCTTTTCACGCTGTTCCCAAGCCAGCCCTCGGCTTCTCAGATCACTCCATGATACATCTGGTTCCTGCTTACAGACAGAGACTAAAGCTCTCGAAACCTGCAGTGAGGAGCTCCAAAGTGTGGTCTGATGAAGCTGTGGAAGAGCTGCATGCATGGAATCTACAGACTGGGACCTTTTCAGAGCTGCCACAGATAGTTTGGATGAATACACGGACACTGTGACGTCATACATTCACTTCTGTGAGGATAGCATCATTCCAACAAGGACCAGGGTCATCTATAACAACGACAAACCCTGGTTCACTGCTAAACTCCGGCAGCTCAGGAAAGCAAAGGAGTCTGCTTTCAGGGAGGGGGACCGCAGCGGCTACAAAGCAGCTAAATATCAGTTCAGGAAAGAACTGAAAGCAGCCAAGTCCCGGCACAGAGAACGACTACAGGAGCAGTTTGGTAACAACGATACTGCTTCTGTCTGGAGGGGCCTACGGGAGATCACCAACTACAAACCCAAAGCCCCCCCCTGTGCTGACGACCACAAGCTAGCTGACGAACTGAATTTATTTTTCAGTCGCTTTGATGCTGCCCCTGACACCTCTCCCTCCCCCACCCCCCACTACTCTAACGACCCACCCATCAGCCCTGCCCCCAGCCTAACAATAGCCGCTAAAGAGATTAAACAACTCTTCTTGAGGCTGCACCCCCGCAAAGCTCCTGGCCCGGACCACGTGTCTCCGGCCACTCTGAGACACTGCCCCAGTGAGCTTACTCCTGTGTTCACGGACATTTTCAACACCTCTCTGCAGTCCTGCCATGTCCCGGCCTGCTTCAAATCCTCCATCATTGTCCCCGTCCCGAAGAAGCCCAGGATCACAGGACTCAACGACTACAGACCTGTAGCACTTACGTCTGTCGTCATGAAGTCATTTGAACGCCTGGTTCTCTCCCATCTCAAGTCCCTCACCTCCCCCCTCCTGGACCCCCTGCAGTTCACCTCCCCCCTCCTGGACCCCCTGCAGTTCGCCTACAGAGCCAACAGATCTGTTGATCGTATCACAGCCGACCCCTCTCACCTGCACATGGACTATTCCAACCACTCCCCTCTCACCTGCACATGGACTATTCCAACCACTCCCCTCAGGCAGGAGGCTGCGGCCCATCAGGACTAGAACCTCCCGCCACAAGAACAGTTTCTTCCCCTCTGCTGTTGGACTCTTGAACACTTCTTAACCTGTCCCCCCGCCCTTTATAAAGTCACTTTACTGCCCATCATACGTCACTTTACTTCACTGTACTGCTGTCACCTTACATTGTGTGCATCATGTGCACTTGTATATTGTAAATAGTAATGTTAGTATTAGATAGCAATATGGCCTACGTGCAGGACTGTACAAGGACTCTGATGGTGACTCCATGTTATGACTATGATGTGACTGTCTCTGTGTGACACGTACGTCTTTCGATGTGTGACGTGACAATGACTATATAAACTGTGTACTGCCTTTATTCTGTCTGAGAGAAAGAAACAGAGTAAACCAGTGGAACTTGAGAGAAACTTAAATAAACTTCCAGAGTTTGGCACACCACGATCCGTCTCTGTCTGCTAAATCCTGACAGATTTGGTGGAGAATGTGCGGCTCAGTGTGTGCCATTCTCTGGATTGTTTTGAGGGAGTTTTCTTTGTTTCTTTTTCTCGGCGTGGGAGAGCTGAGAGTGTCTGGGGCCTGGGAGCGGTCCAGCAGGCTGGAGAGGCGACCGGCTCCGGGACTCTTTTTCGCTCTCTCACTATATTTTTTTTGTGTCCTCTTTTTTGGACTGAGCGTTTAAAATTGTTTTCCCATGTCCACATTCCGGGGATTTTTTTTTTTTTTAACATTCTGTTTATTAGGTTTTCACAAATTTATACAGTTTGGCAATCCAACAGAAAGTACAGATCACTTAAAAGCACTGTATTAGATGTATATATCCCGTTAGATATGTATGTATATATGTTAGGTTATACAGAGAGAAAAAGAAAAAACAAATAAACAAAGGAACATTCACACAGACTATAGTAAAAAAGAAAATATGCGGACAATTAAAGTGGATTAATGTGGACATACAATTAAAACAAAAAAGTGTAGTTCAAGTTCCCATTTTAAACAGACTAATAAAGGATGCCCATGTCCTGGTAAATGTATCTTCATGACCTTGTAAGGAATACCTGATCTTCTCCAGATCTAAGTGCATCATTACATCTCTTAACCAATGCACATGAGAGGGGGGCTCTGCCTCCTTCCAATTTAATAAAATCAGTCTTCGTGCAAGTAAGCACCCAAATTGTAGAACAGTGCGCTCTGACCGTCTTGTAATTAAATTTCGATCTACAATTCCAAGTACTGCTGTGAGAGGATTCATGCCAATAGTTTTGTGAATAGCTTTTGATAATATTGAGAAAATATTTGACCAAAAAGTGTATAGCTCAGAGCAACCCCAGAACATGTGTGACAGAGAAGCTGGTGCTTGATTACAGCGCGTACACACAGGGTCCACATCAGGAAAGATCTTACTCAATCGAAGTCTTGACCAGTGGATCCTGTGTATGATCTTAAACTGAATTAAACCGTGGCGAGCACAGATGGAGGTTGAGTGGGTACAAGCGAGTGCTTGTTCCCAGTGCTCTTCAGTGACAGCAATACCAAGTTCCTCCTCCCAGGCCTGCCTCAGGTGTTGCAAAGTACCAGAACCATCAAACTCAGACAATTTATTATAAAGCTTAGAGATGCCTCCTTTAGAAGAAGGGTTATCTAAAAAAAGTGTATCAATAGGTTTTGGTGTCGGAGCCCTAGGATAGTTAGCATTGTTCTGTTTAACAAAATGACGAACCTGCAAATATTTAAAAAAGTGACAGTTGCGTAAGCCAAATTTTTCCTTAAGTGTTTCAAATGAAGGAAAAAAACCCTCTATAAAAAAGTCCATAAAATTACATAAACCACGCCTAAACCATTCGGTAAAAGTGTCATTTCCAAAAGAGGGTGCAAACAGGTGATTTTTAATTGTGGGTCCAAGCATCGGGTTGGAATGAAGACCAAAATGCCTTAAAATTTGTTTCCATATTTGAAGTGAATGAGAGACTACCAAATTATCAATACCACCATGAGACATTGATGCTATATCTGCAAAAACAAATGCTCTAAGTGAAGAGGGAGAACAGTAATACTGCTCCATTTGCATCCAGCTTGGAAACTTCTTTTGGATCCAAAATGACATACATTTAAGATTGCAAGCCCAATAGTATAATTGAAAATTTGGCAACCCCATTCCACCTGACTGTTTTGGTCTCTGCAGGAATGCTTTTCTAATTCTAGCAGTCTTTTTATTCCACACAAATTCTGAAATTATTGTGTCAAGTTTTCTAAAAAAATGACTTATTCAGATAAAAAGGAATGCATGGAATAAAAGAGGAATCTTGGCAGTACTGTCATCTTGATTATATTAATACGGCCTGCTAATGAAAGTGGGAGATAAGACCATCTCTCACAATCTACAGAGGTCTGTTCTATCAATTTTGTAAAATTTTCAAGTAGTAACCCATTAAAGGATGAGGTAATGTTAATTCCCAGGTATTTAAATTCATCAGAAATCTTAAAGGGTAAGCGATAAACATGCATGTCATCCAGTGTCGGTTTATTGGGAAAACAGTACTCTTGCCTATGTTTAATTTGTAGCCAGATATTGAGCTGAATTGTTCCAGTTTTTTCATTATTGCAGGAATAGATATTAAAGGGTTTGAGATATATAGGAGAAGGTCATCAGCATAGAGCGATACCTTATGCTCAGAGTTTGCTCTTGTGATGCCAGAATAGTTCTGCATCATACGAAGTGAAATAGCAAGAGGTTCGATTGCAATTGCAACAGTAGGGGCGACAACGGACAGCCCTGTCGAGTAGACCTAGTTAGAGGGAAGTACTCTGACCTGATGTTATTGGTTTGTATGGAAGCAACCGGGGAGGCATACAGTAGTTTCAGCCAAGCAACAAACTGAATTCCAAATCCAAACTTCGACAGGGCGAAGAAGAGGTAGGACCACTCCACCCTGTCGAAGGCCTTCTCCGCGTCTAAAGAGATGAGCAATTCAGGTTGAGCTTGTGCATTGCTTGTATAGATAATATTAAAAAGACGTCTTAAATTATGGGTTAACTGTCTGTTTTTTATGAAACCATTCTGGTCTTCATGTATGATTGTGGGTAGCACAGTTTCCAGTCGATTACTTAATATTTTTGCCAGGATTTTAACATCTACATTCAAAAGGACTAATTGGCCTGTATGCAGACAAACTTTTTGGATCTTTATCTTTTTTATGGATGACAAAAATAGTTGCTTGATAAAATGTTGGTGGGAGTTTACCAAGTGTCATGGATTCGTTATAAACTTGGAGTAACCTGGGAGCCAGCTCATCAACAAAAGATTTATAAAATTCAGTTGTAAAAACCGTCAGGACCAGGTGCCTTTGATGTCTGTAAAGCTTTGATTGCCCGTTTAACCTCATCTAGAGAGATAAGACTTTCCAACTCGTCTTTAGATTTCTGAGTTATTAAGGGAATGGGTAGATCATCGAAAAAACTATTTAACAGAGTAGTATCCCCTTCAACTTCGGATGTGTACAAATCTTCATAAAACTTTTTAAATTCCCTGTTTATTTCTTGTTGGTCAGTAGTTAAAGTGCCCAGATGTGTTATTACTTCTAAAATTTTTTTTTTCTCCTCCATAACTTTAATCTGGTGAGCAAGTAGTCGGCCGGGTTTTTCCCCCTGTTCATAGAATCGATGTTTTGTTTCCTTTATTAATTTCACTGCTGAAGCTGAGGATAACAAATTGAATTCAGCCTGCAGAGCAATACGTTTAGCCAAAATATCTGGCTCTGGGTTGGTGGCATGCTGTTGATCCAAGGTTTGAATTTGTTCAGTTATTAACTGTTTCTCCTGTTTTTCCTTCCTATATTTTAATGCACTCTGAGATATAATTTGACCGCGAATAAAAGCTTTCATGTGCTTCCCAAAGAGTTTCCCTTGAAATTTCTATGGAATCATTTGTTTCAAAATAGAAAGATATCTGAGATTTTATAAACTGCCTGGATGACTCTTCTGCCAAACACCGGTTATCCATTCTCCATTTTTTGATCCATTCAGTTTAGGGAATGAAAGATTTAATGTTAATGGTCCATGGTCTGACAGCACTATAGCCTCATATTGTATTGTTTTGATTATGGGTAACAATTTAGAATCTGTCAAAAAAAAATCAATCCTCGAGTAAGAATTATGCCGCGGGGAGAAAAATGAATATTCACGCTTAGTGGGATTTATGTGCCTCCATGGGTCTACTAAGTCAGCAGATTTTAAAAATTGCTTAATCAATTTAGCAGATTTGGTCAAACTCTGTTGCTTATTTGATGATCTATCAAGTAACGGGTCAAGCACGAAGTTGGAATCTTATTCCGTTTCAATGTACCATTCACCCCTCTACAATTCCAGGACAAGCATTTCACTAAAGTTTCTTTATCTGCCATAGCATAAATTAAACAAAAAATGTATGGTCCACAACAGCATGTTAAGTGAAAAAAAATGTATCCACCAGAATAAAGTCTGTGCTACTAAAGAA